GGAGCCTGAGCGCCTCGGAGGCGCGCCGCCTGCCCGAAAGCGCAGGGAGAGCTCGCCAGCTCCGCGGGAGAACTCCAGGGGCGAGCTCACTGCTCCGCGTCCCATAGAGGGGCCTTAGGGTTTTCCTGGAGATCCCTGCACGCCGGCCTCTCTCTTCTGTTCTAAACCAGTGGCCACGGACTCAGTGCGGTCCGATAGCTGGCTAGATTTTAAGGACGCTCGCTCCAAAAGCTTAAGGCCCTGCCCAGCCGACCTAGCTGAAGCCTTCACGCCTGGGGAGCCTGGGCTGGAATGGGGTCCTTAGACCCGACTTGCTGTTATCAAACGGTGCAGCCAGGAGAAAGCCAGGCCTCGTGGAGATTAACTTTCAGTGTGAGCTACCGGAGTACGGTTAGAATTTAGAAAAGGCGATCCATCGCTAAATATCTCGCAACTACTCCTCCGTGCACTCAGTCTTGCATATTACCTCATTCTCGGGATGCATTCTGAATCTTAGCCAAACATATTTTACAGAATCATGGAATTTCAGCCTTGGGAAAACGATGGAGGCATTGGCTGGTTCCTGGAGTAAGCGTTTGAGATCAGAAGCAAAATCAATGGCCTAATGGAAGTTGAGCAAGTTGGCCATGGATTTAGGAGTAAAGAGATGGGGGATTGATTTAGAAATCACATCTTAATTAAAGAATTATATCCACTCCTTTAAAAGTGGTCAATTTCAAATTCACCAACACGCTAACCCAGAATTCCCAAAGACAAGGGCGAGAAACGTCAGAGCACCGAATCAGATCAAACAAATTCATGCATGATGCTCGCGGGCACTTCACAACACTGCTCACATTTAAAAGTTACTTAATGCAACCCCCTTCCCTGTAGCCTCATCTTATATGGGCGTCTTTTTGTTGTTGTTCCTTAATGGAAGATACCGTATTTGCTGAGAAATTAGCGGCAGTAACATCTTTACGCCGATACGGAAGGGTGAGGCACCAGGTGGTGCCAGAAAGCGCCAAGCTCAGACCTGCTCACAGCGGCGGGTGTCCTCCGGCCCGGCGGGCGGGGAGCCCGGATGCGGCCAGCCAGTGCTCGCTTTGTGCCTACAGAGGTCACTCTTCCATGCGCAATGCTCGGCGCCAGATCTTACCTCTTCCCCAGGCTGCCTGCGCCGCTCCACTTTGCACTTTCACTGATGTACAATCTTTGGGGGTTGATTTCCCCCCCCCCCCCCCCCCCCCCCCGATTTAATATTTGTACTTAAATCTAGTTTAAAGAAATCCCCATTAACCCCTCCAGCGTTCAGTGCTTGCTCTCTCTCTCTCTCTCTCCCTCTCCCCTCTCTCCCTCTCCATATATATATCTTTGCATTATTAGCTACTAGTTTGTGTGTATCTGGGAGGAGCATTAGAAATACCTACTTGGGAAAAAAAACGTAGAGCAATAATTATTTCAATGTAAGGTAGACATTAATAGTTCTTTTCCTAATGTGTGTGGGTGTGACTGCTATTTACTCACAGTCCTGGTGATTATTAGCATTAGTCTGTGTTTCCTAGCTGTGGTCACAGATTCAGAGACCTACTGGAGGCCTGCATTTTAGAGAAAGAAGCCCGCCTCCTTGCACTGCTGATGTTGCTGTTGGCTTGATTGCTCCAGTCCTCAAGAGTAGAATTTCTTTCATAGTTCTCATGATAATGGCTTGCCTGGGAGGACTGGGTAATTTGTCCCAGGAAAAGGTCTACTTAACAAAGTATGTAGCTCAATGCTAGCGTGAAAGGTCAGAAAGATTTCTTCCTGGAGGAATGAATAAAAACCCCTCATGTCACGGGTTCATTTTATTTGGGGAAGTTGCATATTTATTTCCAGAGAAAAGTTGGTCGGTCAGTGTGATGTGGCAAGAAGGCAATCAAATGCAGTGAAGTTTCACATCAGTTCATATGGACTGGGGAACAACTCATTTGTAATGAAGCAACCATCAGTAATTAGATTTGTTTCATCCGGGGGTCAGCTTCTTTAGCAGGTGGTGGACATAGGGAGCATGCAGCAGCTGTTTGGAAGCAGAGTCCAGAAAATCCTTTGTAAATTCACTGTCTCCATAACTACTTGAATCACACTGCCTGCTGCTCCCGTCCCTGAAAGTGTATGCAGTAATTGAAAGAAGTTCTATATACTGAAACAGTAGCCCTGTTTGATTATTAGCATTGCATCCATGTGCTCTAGTAAAGTTGGTTTAGTTCTAGACATTTAGGTTGTTTAAGCAGTTTGTGTGTGTGTGTGTGTGTTAACCTTGGGAGAGAATAGCAAAACCTGGCTTTTTCATTCATTTCTAGTTAACATTTCAGTAGGACAATTTTTTCCAAACATGATGTTCTTGCCAAAATAAAAGTTGTCTCTTTTTAAAAAGAATAAAAATATTGATTTCACTTGAGAGGAAGCAAGTCTGTTTTGGTATGGTATTCTAGAATGAATTACACCGACTTTGTTGAAAATTTCAGTTGAGCATTAATTTCTTATGTCTAGGGGTGCTATTTCCTATGCACCACATACTAGTTAGTCGACAAAGCATTTTGCTTTTCCCATGTCATTTTTCCTTACATAATACTAAATTCCTGATATTGATTGACTTGATAGAAAAGAATGGCCGGGTAATATCCAGATAACCTATAATACACGGGCTCCAGCACAGTCGGGCTCCGAATAAATACGGACCTGTCAGAGATTGATAAAATAAACTACAATGGATAGTGCTGTTTAAACAGCCCATTCAATACCATATATAAGCCAGCCTGCCTTCCATTGTGCCTGAAATTCTTATTTTTGTAGATAAACAAATGCACATTCAGCATTGATTGAATAGCCCCTTGAACTATGCTCCACAGTTTGCGTTTGGGTTAATCTTGTCGGTTTTAATATAGAGAGAAAAAAGCACAAAGCACCAGGGGTGGAATTGTTAGTGCTTTCACATCCACATTCCTCACGTTTTGTCAGGATGATAAACTGTAGGTAATGGACTGTCGTCGTTCCACCGGACAACTGAGCCAGAGAGAGCACAAAGACAGAGCTAAAGCGATATCTCACAACATGCTTGGTAGCCTTCTTTCAGACGAGAAGAGAATTTATTTGGGAATCGGGTGTCTAGGGACTGCACTTTCTAACCTCAGCAATTACAGCTTCAGCCTCAGAAATGGGAGCTGGGGGTTAAGATGATTTGTTAAGCACTTGGTTCTAAATCTTCCACAAAGCATAGCTGTTGACACTTGTCCAACAGATGGAAAGAAATGCAAATGACTTCAACATCCCTAAATGTTTCTGACTCCTAGGCTGAAAGATGAGGACAGGTGAATTAGGCATCTTTCCCAGGTCAGCTAAAATATAAAATAAATAAAAAAATAAAATAAAAAATACTACAGATTGGTATGGCTTCTCCACATGGAGTCAGCTGAAGAATGATAATAATAGGTGTATTTCAATTAATTACCATAAAATGTCTTCTCTGTAAATTTACTGAGATAAATCCTTTAGTTGGTGGATCACCACCATAATTTCCTTCAAATGGAGCAACTAAATCTTTGTACCTTGCCTTCCGCTGAAATGCACCAGGTAGCTCCCAGGAGGCTGATTCTGAACATCTACCTTAGAGCAGCATTTCCCAGCGTGTTCTCCTAAGAGGAAAAGATTTGAGACCCCAACCTGACTGCAGTGATGCGTCATAGGAATGGGAGTGGCGGAGGGAAAGACTAGACCCTCATCAAAAGAGAAAAAAAAAGTCTTAAAGAGGGATATTCCTTTAGCACTTTATGAAAACTTTATTCTTAAACTCTCCCATTGCAAATTGGACAAAAAAAGAAGCGCTCTTCTTTAAGAAATAATGATGAAAATGGTACTCCTGCCTGCCTAATCGCTGCCTTCATTTGCTGCTGACATAAAGAGCCTGTTTTTCAGGTCACTTATCATACATCTACATAGATTTGCTTATGAGCTCACCCTTTGTGTGGAGGAGTAGAGCCTTAAATAGGAGTGTTCGACTGTTTAAAATATTTTGATTAAAATATGCAGAACCCATAGAACTATAAGCTTCTAGTTAGGAATTGGGTCTTTCAGGGAAGAGCCCCCCCCCCCCCCTCTTTTTTTTTTTTTTTTTTTTAAGGGGAGGAATTAGAATGGGGCTGGGAGAGGAATATAAGAAAAGCAAAGAAGGAAGGATAGCGAATGGGACAGTGTTCCGAACAGCTTGGAAAAACTCCTGTGGCTTCATTGTCTCTCTCAAGCCAAATAATACAAAGACATCAGCAATTCAGCCCTTCTCCCATGATGGAAAATGTAAACCGTTGACATGGCTCCCCTGTTTAACTTGTTTAATTCTCATTTTAAATTCAGTACTATACTGGCCGTGTGAACTCTGAAGATTTCTTTAGTAATCCATTTTGTAGTTCCGAATCAAAAACAAAGTGAAAGGGTCTGACACAATTTGCTTTTATTTTTAGGCAAATCAACCCTGGTCATAGTTAATAAGGGGATTACAACCCAGACTAGGTCTTTACAGATGTAATGTAAATCAAGGGCAGAGTATAAAGAAACTGATCCCCTTTGATTGAAGTATGGTAAAAAGGCATA